CCTAATAGGCGATCCGAAAGATCCTAATTCCAAGTTTTTTGAATTCAAATCCACAATCAACGCTCAATTTGACTTCAGGTCCAGCTCCTGCGAGCAGGATTTTTTTTTCTAAATGCGTGAACGGCAGTGTTGTCTTTCTGATGATGAATTGTCTGGAGGATAAGGAGGGCCCTGGCGAGGACTGTTACTTCCACTTTCCAAACCCAGCCCACCTCGATGTAGCTGTAGGATTCGTGCCTGATGATGAGATGATAAAGTGGAAATATGAGGAGGGTAGCAAATCAAATGTCACATATCGATTTGGGTTTATCTACGGAGGCTGGTATGTCGACGAAAGGTGTTGGGAAGTTTATAAGAAGCTAGTGGGTCGCAAAGGGAAGCTTTGGCTGACATTAATGGCACGAAGATGAGAAACCATTTTGACAGGTAAATTGCTGGTAGGTTTTTGAAGGTTGACAGTGCTTATATTGTTTGATTTGGTTGTTAAGTGTTTCAGACATCTGCAATTTGTTGGTTCTTATCCAATTCTTCGTGTTAACTGTCTTGCTGTTTGGAAGATGTAAGATTGTTCATACCAAGCTAGATCAGGGTTTTAGGGGATTGCATGTTGCGGGTTTGCCTGTTAAAGATTACTTCGTTTAGGTGGTTGTCAAAGCTCTTGACTCTAGTGCCTTGTTTGTATTTCTTATGTTGAGCAGTGAGTTCGACTTTGATTGCAGTGTTGGTAGTTTTCCTAGTGGCGAAAGACAAACTGCATTTCCATCTAGTAATTTTGCTGGGGACTTCTGTTAATGACATCCTTGAGAATAGACCACCTCTTTTGCTTGTTACTTTACTTCTGTGTTTTCTGTTCTCCCTTCTGCAATCTATTCTTCTTCTTATTCATCACTGTGTTCTGCAATCGAGACTTTTGATCGATACTCCTTTGGTTTCTCCTTGTAATATTCAGGGGCTTAGTTTTGGTTTTGTTTATTTATTAAGGGTTTCCCCTCTTTCTATATCATGAATCCCTTAGTGCATAATACTGATTACAACTATTCCACTTGTGATATTCAGCGGTTTGAGTACCGAACGAGGATCAAGCAAGTTATTAAGCAAAGCTTTATGGAGGCAGAAGACTTTTTTGTGTCAGAAGATTTGTTATTAAGTCAAAGCTTTATGAAACATGTGCAGGATCGAAACGTACATTGCTTTCATATAAGTGACAGGTTAACGAAGCTGGTAAGTGACAGGTTAACGAATCTGGGACGCTATTGACGCCCTAACTTTTTAATTTTATCGCCCTAAACCTACCATTTTATAGCAACACTCTTCTATTCTTCCTCCGTCTCTGTCTTCCAATTTGACTGTATTAGTCCCTACTGGCTGGTGGAATTCGCTACAGCACATTCTTCTTCAGTCTTTCTCTTCCGGCGCCTCTTCCTGTCCGTGCCCGTCTTTTCCGGTACATCAAAATTCCTTATTAACGCATCCCCGTCTTCATCACTACAAAATAAATTAGGTTTGGGGACAACAGAAGTCGTCCCCGGAAAGAGGCAAAATCGTCCCCATAAATTATGGGGACGACACAATCGTCCCTAATGTGTGGTCCCTTATACTCTTGTCCTCTATTTTTTCAGGGACGAAAAAATCTATGTCGTCCCCAATTCTAGGGACGACAATCATCCCCAATACTTGTAAATTATTCTCCTTTTCTTTTCAGTGCAAGACTACATGTCGTCCCTATAGCTACGGTTTTGGCGACAAAAACACGTCCTCTAAACATTATTATAGTGAACAAAGCGTTGTCCCCTATAATTCACTTTTCACAGAAGATTTGTGACTATTTGAGGACAATATATTGTCCCTTTTTCCTTTTTTATAGATTCAATATGTCATCCTCATGGATGTAGAACAAGTTATTTGCATTTGACCTTTTGGGATGAATAGTTGTCTCCTAACTTGAATCTTAGGGATGAAAAATTGTGACCTACTTTCTTTTTATGCACGTTGCATTTCCCCCCCGCAACACATACAAATATTAAACTCTGCAATAACTCAACTGAGCAAATTAAGAGACAAAATTGATCTCTCCAACAATTAGATTTATTATAGCAATAACCATATAATGGAACATTGGAATTGGTGTTCCATGGGAATGAAAAAGATCTGTGTGTACTTGTTATGTACAAATAGAATGAGAAGCACGAAAAAACACCACCAAAAATATGTATCCGCTGCAATGTGCCTTCACTCATCACCATCCAACAACATATTTGTAATCGTTGTTGACTTGCATAAACACTGTCAACATGGATTGCCGCCACATATACCTCTTCCATGGAACATGACCAAAGAAGCCTCTGCGATGTCGCCACTGGCTTCATCATCGTTGTCGACGCTGGTAGAAAACAAAAGATCAATATTGAAGAAAATATATAGATCCAAAGCTAATAGTGAAACAAAGACTGAAAACCAAGAAAAAAAGGAACTACGATGAGTCCTACCATCGAGTGGACACTAATGACTAGGAGAGCGAAGCGCTGGTGAACAAAGGCAGAGAAGAGCCGGCGCCCAGCGGAAAAGAGAAGAAGACAGAGAGATGGAGAGCCGATCGGCCGAAAGAAGGAAGGGAATAGAACATTCGGCCAAAAGAGGGAGAAGACTGGAATGTAGCTAGGGTTTCTATCGTTACTTAAAGCTAAATGGACGTTTGAGATTAAAACTTATTGAAATGACGGGCTGAGATGAAGTTGAATTCTAGAGAGCCAAGTATTTTAATATTTAAGAGCTAAGTATTTTAATACAATTGAGAATTTAAGAGCAAGTATTTTAATATTTACTAAGAGTTAGTTAGCAGGCTTTGATAAAAACATTATGAATTATATCCTTTCTAATATAAAAGAATGACTTATAGTTTCACTTATAAAGTACAAGTCATGATAGTATTGTGGACAATATATATTAACTAGTTTTGTTTTTGTGAGGACAACATATTGTTCCAATAGGTGTTCAATTGGAACCAATAGATGTCTCCAATAAATTTATTTAAGGACAAGAAGTTGTCCCTTATACTTTATTTTTCGAGAGGACAAGTTCTTATCTGTGTGGCTTTTAGGGACGACCAAGTGTTCATTAAGTTGTGGCTTCGTGAAGGATACATTGTCACATATATAACATTTATCGATGACCAATGGTCCTTTAATAACCTATTTTGTTAGAGATGATAAATTGTCTCCTATGTAACTTGAAGGGACAATAAGTTGTCCCTTATCATGTGTCTTTAAGGACTAATAATTGTCTTCTATATAACTTGTACGGACTAATATTTTCTCCAAACTTATATCATCGAGGATGATTAATTGTTCCCTATATTATTTGCAAGTACGACTAATTTTATCTCGTGTTTTTGGAGACATCTTGACGTCACTTATTTTACTTGTAAGGACGACCAGTTGTCTCTTAAACTGTGTCTTCATGTTGACTAATTGTCACATACAGAACTTGTAGCTAGGCTAGTTACTCATTAAGGGGTATCATTAGGGATTATGAATCAACTGTGCAACTTATAGTGACAACAATTTAGTGTGCTCGTAGTCTGAGTATAATTATCCTTAATCTCTTAGTAAAAAAAAGGCATTCAACTTACTACTTTACCAACTCAATTGCGTTTATGTATAATCTACATAGCAAATCTAAATATTAAAAGGAAAATAATAACACAAATTGTAAAATTGCTAGTAATTGGGAACGATAAAGGAAAAGATATCGACCTCCATATCAGCTCATGAATTACTATGTGGAAAGGAGGGAAATTAGAATGAAGAATTGCTAGGATATCAATGATTAATTCAAAGATCAATCTTCCTGATTTATTAGTTACGGCCGGATAAGATTTGTTTTGGGGACCACTGAATAAAATTAAAAATTAATAAATATCACATTCCTTATTTTATGGAGACAATTTATATGTGGGTCCCTAATACTACTTAAAATTGTATTTGCGGAGACAATATCAGGGAATTGTCCCTAATATTGGTCCCCTAATCTCATTATTTTTGTAGTGAAACAATTGTCTCTTAAATTGTGGGTTGGAGACAGATAAACTGCGAGTATTAGGGACTGATTTGTAAATGAAAATTATTTGGTAATGTTTTCATAGAGGGTTAATTCTTACGCCCACCATGAATATTAATTAGGATTCGAAGATATTTGTTTGGGCATATTCTGCAAGTATGCCATATTTCGCTTGTAGAAAACATTGATATTAAGTATAAACCAATCGAAAAAAGGAACAAGATTATTAGCAAAATTGGAGATAAAACTGATTTGACAACGGGATATATTATAATAATAAGCATACAGTCAGAATTGTTCATATGATAATCAATAGAACAAGAAACACATATACACACCAATCATCACCAATTCACCATAAATATCTTTATCGCTGCATTGTGCTATCTTTCTCAGTCGACCGTCTCACCTAAAGGCAGCCACCATGTTTAGCTTCCACATGTAATCAGGTACGGTACTGCGCTACATTGTAACGTCGCCCAAACAACATCGAAAACTTCACAAGTCACAACCGACTTCATCGTCATAAGACCATCCTCAACAATGCAATTCTTATGCAATTTCAAGTGTGGTCCCTACTATCACTTCAACAACTTTAACAACTACCTCACTCCTCACTTTCATACCTTATACATCAATTCCATTCACATGCAATTGCATCGTGGGTCCTACTTAATTTTACTACAATTCTATATTCATATTACTTACATCATTTTACTAAAATATTTTAATGCCTTTTCAACTAAAATTAGTAAATTATTATATTACTAATTAATATCAATAAATATAATTTAACTTTGAGTTGAAATTAAAAAGATTCAGATAATTAAATTAATGAGACCGAGAAATTACATTTTATATTAATAACAAAAATACAATATTTAAACAACACAAATGCACAAAGCACATATCTTAAAAGCAGTAAAGCTAAAATCAATACTAGATTAATCATCTTCTTCCTCGTCACCAAATCGACTCCATATCTCTTCTATCAAATCAGCTTGAAGTCGGCTATTTGTTGACAGATTACGAATTCTTGCATTGTTTCGAAGATACTCTTCATATTCAGGGAGACGAGATTGAGAAACTGTTGGCATGGATACATTGAAGTTCACTTCGTCGTGTGTGTAATCAAAATGACGAATATATGAATCCCGCTCATCTTCCACGATCATGTTGTGCATAATTACACATGCTCTCGTGATGTCTCCCATTATACCTTTGCACCACATGCGTGATGGACCATTAATGATTGCAAATCGTGCTTGGAGTACCCCAAATGCTCTTTCAACATCTTTCCTGGCTGCCTCTTGCTTCTTAGCGAATAACTTGTGCTTCGGTCCTTGAGGTAATGGGATTGACTTGACAAATGTTGCCCAATTAGGATAAATACCATCAGTGAGGTAGTAACCCAAATTATAGTTACTTCCATTAACAGAATACTGAATCTTTGGTGCTTTTCCTTCTAACACCTCATAGAAAACAGGAGACCGATCTAGCACATTTATGTCATTCAATGTACCTGGAAGACCAAAAAAAGCATGCCATATCCACAAATCCTGCGAAGCAACAGCTTCAAGCATAATCGTAGGAGTTTTATGATCCCCTCTAGCATATTGACCCTTCCATGCCGTTGGACAATTTTTCCACTCCCAATGCATACAATCAATACTTCCTAGCATACCTGGGAAACCTCTTTGTTGTCCCACGTGGAGCAAGCGAGCAATATCTGTGGCATTCGGCCTCCTCAGGTACTCGTCCCCAAATGCAGCATTAACAGCTCGTACAAAATGTTGAACACATTCTGCAGTGGTGCTCTCAGCAATTCTCATATATTCGTTTACACTGTCTGCAGCCGTACCGTATGCTAGCATTCGCATTGATGCTGTACACTTTTGGAGTGCTGAGAAGCTTTCTCTGCCCGTACAATCAGGGTTGCTTTGGAAGTATGGATCTTGATTCGTGACACCTTCAACTATGCGAAGAAATAAGTTTCTTCGCATGCGAAATCTACATCGAAACTTTTCTTCTGGGTATGTTGGGTTCTCAGCGAAGTAATCATTGTACAGGCGTTGATGACCATCTTCACGATGCCTTTCAATGTATCTTCTTGGCTTCCTGGGACGCCTTGATGAAGAGGCTTCATATTGTTGTTGTTGTGATTGCACATATTGTTGCACATTTTTGAGAAGGTATCATCGAAGAGCCATTGGACAATTTTTGGTGGAGAGAAGGGATTATCAGGATTAGAGTCAGTAGAAGATGGAGAGGATGAAGAAGATGAAGAGTTCATCTTTGTATCAGATATTTGATGAGTATGGTTGAATGTGAGATGCAAATGTGTGGTTGTATTTATTGATGAAAATATAGAAAGAGTTTTTGGGTTGAGGTTGAGGATGTGGGATAAGATCAATGAGGTGGAACTTTCTTATTGGCCGAAGTTGATTTCTATCCGTTAGATATATCAGGAATAGATTAGGTGATGATGTGGAGTGTTCCTATTGGTTGGTCCAATTGTCAGGAAGAGATAATGTCATCATATGTGTTGGAGCTTTCTTATTGGTCCACCATATTTTCTATCCGTTAGATAGATTAGGTGATGACGTGGAGCTTTCTCATTGGTCCGAGTCCATTCTCCATCTATTGGGTAGATAAGTTGAGTGGTTGATAAATAGGAAAATCACCACACAATCTTTCTCACCTCCTTCAAACTAGCATTTGTCTTCATTCCTTTGCTTTCTTCTCTTATGGATCCGTTTCGTCCTCCATTCAATCCATATTCCAATTTCCCTTATAATTCAGCAAATGTCCCTAGTGATGAGACTCATCAAGATTCGCAATCTCCTATCAGTCCATACACAACCCCTCAAATGAACTCCTCATTTTTTTCACATGCAGGTAATTTCTCAATGCCCATCTACCCAAATCCTAACTTTGCCTACTTCCAACAAAACCATCCATCAATGCAAGTTCCAACAAACTTTTCCCAACCCCCACCAAATCAATCTTCAGACACTCCAACTAGCTACATGGAACAAAGTTCTCAATTTCCTGGACATTGTAGCCAAGAAAGGGTGATGCAAGATCAGCCACGAAAAGCTCTTTGGAATGTTGTTGATGATCTTTTGTTGTGCAGTTCATGGCTTAATATTAGTAAAGATGCAGAAATTGGTACAGATCAAAATCTAAGCGGCTTTTGGGAGCGCATTTGGGCTAATTATGAAAGGTATCATAACAAGAGCTCTCAAAAGAAAAGGGGCAAACAGGCTATGATAAATCGATGGGGCAGGATGAACCAGGCAGTATCAAAGTTCGTCGGCTGCTACGAAAAAATCCAACATAGAAGGGAAAGTGGTATAAACGAGGAAGACAAGAAGAACAGGGCAAAGCAGTTATATCTTCAAAATGAAGGTAAAGATTTTGTTTTTATGCATGCTTGGGCTGTCTTAAAGGATGAAGAGAAATGGCGGAGTCAAAGTGAGAGAGCTAAACCTCTGGACCATGATGAAGATAGAGGAGGATCAAAGAGGACTAAAAATACCTTCTGGTCAATACACTTCATCATCTTCAAATACAACCATGCCATCCATGGGAGAGCCAGAGACCGTATCTCAACCTCGTCCCCCAGGTAGAAAAGCCTCCAAGGATAAAGGTAAAAAAAATTCTATGTCATCTGAATCATCAGAAAACATGCAGTTACTACAACGACAAGCCGAAATTGAAATGGAAAAGGTAGAAGCAATGAGGAAATTTTCAACCATTATGGAGGCTGATTTGAAGTCAAAAGAACAACGTCGGAAAGATAAGCTGATAGTCAAATTGTTGGCTATGGATCCAACAACAATGACAGAAACTCAAAGAAAGCTATATGAGATTCAAATGAATGAGCTACTAGGTGATAAATAATTTCGCATTGTACTTTCGTTGGATTGTATTTTTTCCTTTCTGTGTTTTCAATTTGATTTAAATTAAGATGTTTAATGTTTTGTATCTGTTTTAATTTTAATTAATCATGCAATAGTTGTCTTGATGTGTGTAGTGTATTTTTCTTTTCGATTTATACTGTATGGATGTATTATCTTGAAATATATGTGAATCTTGAATTTTTTAATCATATTATTAATCTTATTAACCATGAACTAAATGTATAATTACATATATGCATGATAGAAATGAATGGAACAAGATAAATGCAAAACAAATAGAAAAGACAAAATATGCAACTTTTGGTTGCAGAAACTAGAAAGAAGGAAAAAGATTAAAAAAAAAAGTACAAAAGTGGGCCAGCTTTCAATTGCATCACCACTTGCATGGTGTGCAAATTTGCACATGATGAAAACGTCTCCACAACAATGCCACCCATATCTCCACTTTCATCCCAATGCCACCTAGGATTGCAATTCAACCCATTCCCACCGTTGGGGATGCTCTAAGGGACCATGTCAAAGAAGGATAAATCGATGTTAGACTAAAGACAAAAAAATTAGTAAAAATAAGGTACTAATCGAAATCCTACCATTGTCGGCCGTCGATTACTGGAGCGGAGAAAGGAGCGCGCCGGTAGCTAGGGAAGGAGATGTCAATCCAAAGCGAACTGTGGGAAAAACGAAAAGGAACCAAGACTACTCGGCAGAGAGAAGATGATATATATTGAACTACGGTTTGTGTTGTTATTTAAAGAAACGTTTGCGATTTGATCAATATAAATAAACGGCCAAGATGATAACTATTATAAGCCCTGTTTTATTTGTTTACGGAATTAATTCGCATTCTTTTGTTAATATTTGCTAAGACTAATATCTCTTTTAAACTTTAAGTTTGCATATACTCTTTCCGCTACAATTATGAGATGGTGTCATTCCAATCTCTTATTCAAAATAAATAAGTTGATTGTTATATCTAAATAATAAGATCTTAAAGGAACTAAGCATTTTCAATTTTACTAATAGTTAGAAAACTTGTGGCAAATAGACAGAGATAGGCAATGATTCGGTCTGCACCGGATCGAATTGTACCTAATCAATATCAAGATTGAATCGAAATATATTTCAATATGGTTTCAATTCTAGGAATTATCTGATATATGAAGGAAAAGTGGACTTAAATTGAATTTGGATCGCACTAAGTCAGACTAAGTGAACCAAACACACTTTTGATATGGCTCTAGTCCTCAATTTTCGTTTGATTTTGATCCGGTCCTATCTCGGTCAATTTGGTTCTAGACCAAATCAATCGATGTCCACCCCAACAAAATATATAAATACTTGACATTATAATATATATATGGTGCCTTCTACGGTTTCCCGGGTGAAATCCGGGGTACCGCATACCTTGAGTATGAAAACACAATCTAGACCTCGAATTAGCAGAATTTTTGGGCATGATACTATACCCTAACCCTTAATGAGTGAACCCTAGGTTCTAATTATTTAAATCATAAACTATAAACCCTAAGACGGTGCATTATTTTTTTGCCTACATCTTGGGGTATAAGATTTAGAGAAATAATACCTAGATTTTGATCTTTAAGGATAAGAGTATAGTATCATGTCCAAAACATCAGTCAATTCAAGTTCTCAATAGCATTTTCTTACACAAGGTATGCGGTATCCCGGATTTCACCCTGATATATATATATATATATATATATATATATATGGTTCAGGCTAGCGTACGACGGTCGTACGCTGTGCGCCTGTGTTCACACTTGTTAATAATTTTTAATTAGTTATAATTAAGTAATTATTTAAGAATAATAAAAATTACAAACATACCTATAAATTTATTTCGGAATACTATTTAGTCCCAAATAATATTTTTCCGTCTTTCTGCTTAAATCAATCATGTAAATTTTCAATTGAACATTTATAGTACCTTCTTTTTGCCATTCATAATTTATAACACCCAAATTTCTTATCAATAATAAATAGTACAATTACTTTTATTTCTTCTTTCAAAATGCATAACTAAAATATTGAATGTCACAAACATTTTATTCATTTTCTTTTCTGAAAAATCCCACAAACCATTTCACCTTCTTCCTCTTATCCTTTCGTGTCCATGCTCCTCCATTTTCAGCAAACTCCATCCCCTATCCCCTTTCACCTTCATATCTCCGATTCGGCCGAAGTCTTCTAATCGCCGTTGGCCTCTCCTACTCTCCCGCCAAAGAATGACCTTATCGATGCAATTGTAGGAAATGAGCATTTATAGAAGAGGGAAAGCGAGGGTTGGGAACCGTAGGTGGTGGAAGAAGAAGAAGAAGAGACTGATAAGGCGACGATGGGCTGTGATGATTGTGATGATCGACAGCTTGGAGTTTGGGAGAAGTGAGGGACTTCAATTAAACGCCCCTGGTTTTCTTCCCCCAAGGCCACATGCATATGCATCAGAACTCCAAGGTTACTTCCAGTACCAGCCAAAACATCAGTCTGTGTATCAATTTTACTTCCGTCAAGCAACTCGCTAAACTCAATACAATGGCTGCCTTCGCAAACCAAGGCCGCTCCAAAATCCGCTCCAACTTCATCATTTAGTGCTTCCGCCAGCAAGCCCCTCTCTCGCCCTGCATTCAGGTAGACATTGGGTACTCACAGTTGGAGATTGATATCATAATTGAATTGAATTGAATGGTTGCAAGTTCCTTCCTTTATTCTTTATGTCCTTTTGTTTGTGATAATTTCTTTCTGTTTTGGGTTGGGTACGCAGGCTTCCAGTCGAGATGAGCTCTGCGGTGGAATCCATGCTGCCTTACCACACTGCTACTGCCTCAGCATTGATGACCTCGATGCTTTCCATCTCTCAGCGTGGTTATGGATGGCTTCCTGAAGGTTAAAAGTACTTCCACTGTTTCCCGCTCATCTATTTTGGATTGTTGCTTATTTTAATCCGGACTTGGAATTGTGTGCTTATATTGCTGCAATACTCTGGAGTTGGGTGCTTGAATGGTTTTATGTTCTCCTTATTAGGGTTTGATTTGTTCATGATATGCATGATTGATTCCGGTGTCTTGGTGTTGATATCTCCATATGTTCCAAGCATTAATGAGGGATAGCATGTGCTGTTGTTTGGATAGCTTTCGTTGCCGAACTTTTGGGTGCAAAGATCCTGGACATTGGAGGTGTCCGGTGTCCGGTCATTTCGTTTAATTGCCTTCTTGTTTCTCTGTTTTGGTGTTTTTTCCTAGAGAACCGGTCTTGCTTGTAGGCTGCCTAACTGGTTGATTTTCTCTCTTTGACTTAGGTATCTAGCAACGTTTGTCCCCATCCTTGATGTTCTTTTCTTCCTTTTGGTTTCCTGATAAGTTAGTGCTTGCTGGATTTAGGTCAATTTAAGAAGCAAAATCTGTAAATCGACACACTAGGTTGCAGATTTTACTCGATCAGGATTCTTTTTATCACAAACCTTTTCCCCAGATCTAATGAACTGACACGCCAAAACACAACACCTAACTGCGACCAAGTGTAATCGCAGTCCGGGAATGCAGTAACAGGCAAGTTTAATTATCAACCCGGGGTCTAGATCTACTGCTTACTCCGTGATTCTCTATTATCTAGCAAACTAGTTCGAGTGATTGTTTTGAAAAGTAAAAGCAACAAGAAAGCAGTAAATTGTTCGGTTTCTAAAGCAGGCAAGAGTCACTCGGGATTGAGTCCCGCTAGCCCCTTAGTTAGGTTCAATTGCAATTCCTGGGTTGATTTACTGTTGATTAGACTGCGGAAGATCCGACAGTAGCTTGGAATCTCTTAAGCTGACCAAGCCCTCTCAGTCTAACTACCCGGTAGACGACTAGTCTTCACCGGGAGAGAAAGCTGAGGCTATGAACACAGAAATCCACTACTGGCGCGAAGAACACCAGTACAAAGCAGGAAACTGGCTAACTCTCGTATAGCCAATCTCCTACTATCGAATGAAGAGGCTCTAACAACCTAATCAGATTCTATCTATCTCAGATTGCAGCAGAAATTGAGAAAAGCTGATCAGACTCAAATCAATTCATTAAACATGCGTCATTCGATTAAAATCAAACAGTAATATCATCCCAAGTCATTACAATCAAATCCCTAACACAAGGAACTAGGGTTCTTCATACCCAAGTGAGAGAAGGGTTCTACTCCATAGAGAGAGAAGAGAAAACAAGAATCGGATTAGTCATACTCATAACGATGAGGATAATCTGCTCCGGGACGATGATTTCCACTCCTATGACGATCTCCAAGCTCGATTTGATGAAATCCAGCTCTAAGACAGCTTCTAGGGTGTGTTCTTCGTACTTTCTCTCTCTAGTGCTCTATTTTTGCTCTGAAAACACGATTCTCCCACTTTTGGCTCGGAATAGGCTCTAAAACCAGGAATTCCCGACTCGCACGGCCAGGGTGCACGGCCGTGCACATCACCATTCTGGCCGTGCAGCTCCAAAACGCGGCGTATCAATTAATTCGATCCTCAGGCTTCTCGCACGGCCAGGGTGCACGGCCATGCAGGGATCCCGGCCAGCCCGTGCTCGGCCTCGGCCAAAACCGCACGGCCAGAGTTGCGCTTTGCACGGCCGTGTGGTTTCCATGGCTTGCCCGTGCGTGGCCTCGGCAAAAGGCGCACGGCCATATTGCTCACTTGCATGGCCGTGCGACTCCATGGTCTGCCCGTGCAGCTCCCCAAAAACCTCGCCATTCGTCCGTTCTTCGTCCAATCGACCCCAGACTCGCTCCTAAGCCTTCATTCACGTACTAGGACCTGAAATATCACAAACAAGCACAACCTAGCGTGAAATCGGCCTAAAACACGAGAATCAACACCTCAAACGGTGTAAGAATGGGGGTAAAAACATGTGTAAATGACGGTCTATCAAACTCCCCCACACTTAACCGTTTGCTTGTCCCCAAGCAAACCAAGTCAGACACTAGGTAAGCTCACATATTTCAATCAACCAACATTGGGGACAAGTCATAAAGGCACAGAACACGTGAATCACACTGGTTTTCAAACATCAATACATGCACAACCTCAATAACAACCTGGACAGCCACCACAAAGGACATTCGAGTGCAGCAAATCGAGTAAAGGAAGAGTCTCCCTTCTGTTCACTGGCCAACCTAGACTTGATTCAACCACTTACTCAAAACAGTCAACTCATGCATCCAACTCAAGACGTCAGAATAGAGACCGAGCAATCTAGGTCCTCACCGGGGTACAAGAGCATATAGAAAATGAAAATGAATCACTCACTCTCGACCAGTGGGGTCAGGACAATTTGATGCGAAAGATGCGCATGCTATTTCTCTCAATACCTATCATCTCTTCACCATGATGGCAGCCTCTAAATGCTAGAGTTCACATATGGGGTGTCACCACTAACTAATCAGGAGGTCTTAGACACAGGTTCAAATGACTGGCTAGGGTCTTGGACATGGGGAAAAGGCCTTTTAGGTGGTGGAAGTATTCATAGCAAAAGGTTCCACATTCTCCAAACACACAATCACCGTCAAACAAACCGGTATTTTTTTTCTGCTATTCTGCATTACTCAATATCTTAAGAGCACAAGAGCGAAGGAGGCATAAACATCAGCATTTCCAAGCCAGACTGCTAAGAAACACTACTTACTAGGCATTATTCAGATTTTTGGTAGTGGCTCTCTTTTGCTTTCAATTTGTTTCTTTGTTTCACTTTCATTTTTCTTTTCATTTCCTAAGAGAGCCACCACTTCTGCATAAACTTCAAACACCTGCCCAACTTTTAAGCACTACCTCCAACACTCACATAGACTTTAGTAGAAACAGCAGAGAATATATAAAAAAAACCACTCTGTGGAACCTTCTAAAAGATGCAACAAGGGTGATTCTTTTTCATTATAGACCAAAAGAAAGGATAACACACGGCTCAAAGGGGCTGACTAGGGGATATGACACATCAGGACAGTCAGTTTTTGGGCGTGGGCTAATCCTATGCCCCCATCATCTTAGCTAGTGACAACGTGAATGCTACACATCATGGAAGAGGGATCTATCGCACAAGAAAGAAACGAGCAGGCTCAAATCTCACATGGCTACCTATATGCTCTATCTCACATTCTGATACCCTGAACTAGATGCATAAACGACTGTCAAGAACAAGTAATCAGATCAAGTCAGATCAAGTCACAGTTGGCAAGCAAACAGTCGAAAAACTGAACCCCTACATCGTTCTACTGCACATCTCAGTCCTCATCATAGGTTGTCCTAGTCGCAAACAAGTTGTCATGCATTAATCCGAAAACCAATCAATTCATCCATCAAAACACAGTGCCAATATGATCAAACAGCAGTACTTGGAGCCCTCAAATCGTAAGATTCGGACAGCGGACTAGGCTCCAAGCACCATCATAAATATTCCAACCGATACAAAGCACCCCCCCCCCCCCACACTTAAGCACGACATTGCCCTCAATGGAGTAGAGGGAAAGATAAGGGGAATGATGTTACCGGGTAAGAACACTGCTGGGGGACTGGAAGGGGACCAGTCAGCGAGAAACGAACGGGAGAGTGGACAATGCTGCACAAATCGAACCAAAAACACACTAGCACACCGTGCGTTAGGGATAAGTGTTAGCCCAGACGGCTACATCAAACCACAAAAGAAAAACCAAAAACAAAAACAAACGACTCTAAGTTCAAGCTCCGCACACATGGAGCAAACACACAAAAGTCTAAAAAGAAAAAAAAACAAACACACTGAGACGGGCAACGAGTACAGCCTACTCGTCGCCAAGATCGTCGAGGTCGATGTCGTTCATGAACGCGTCATCATCAGCAGCAGCAGCCGCACCATCATCACCTTCAGCTGGCGCACGGCCGTGCAGGGGTTGCTTTTGCCCGTGCAGGCCGACACGGCCTGGCCGAGGATCCGCTCACGGCCGTGCACCTTGCTCATTTGGCCGTGCAACATTTACCGAGAGCTCGCACGGCCAAGGGGAATACCCGCACGGCCGTGCGAGGCAACGTGATGCCCGTGCAAGACGCACGGTCGTGCAATGTGCGCTTTTGGCCGTGCGCTTTTGGCCGAGAGCTCGCACGGCCAAGGGGGGATACCCGCACGGCCGTGCAAGTTGAGGTTCTGGCCGTGCGACTTGCTGGAGTCCCGAAATCAACCTATTTTCACTCAAAAACGACACTGGACTCTGGATTAACGTCTCAAGACTCAAAAACACACAAAATCAAAGGAAAAAAAAAGTAAGAAAGTGCAAACCTCGGTGGGGTTGCCTCCCCACAAGCGCTGCTTTACCGTCTTTTAGCTGGACGCCAGTATGGATGCTCAGGGAAGTGTAGGATCAGGTGCCTTCAAGAGCGGATCCACATCGCTCTTGAGGTACAGCTTCAAATGGTGGCCATGCACGCGACGAATGTGGCCACCTGCATTTGCCAGCTCGACTTGGCCATCCGGTAGGATGCAAGCGAGTGAATACTCGGATGGCCAAGGTGGGGGCGGGACCAGCTCATAGAGGTCTCCGGCTTTCGTTCGAGCGGGCTTAGCTGCCTGCAGTTTCGGCCGCCACTCCTCCTTGATCTGTTCTTTGGATGACAGAGTGGTCCGGAGTGGCGGCGAAGGTGTGGGAGGCGGGTCCTGCAAAATAGGCAGCACAGAAGGATACACGACAGACTCGTGCTCCTGGTGAGATACAGCACGCAGAGGTAACGAAGCAGGTATAGTGTCAGCAACAGAAAACGTTATTCGCTCCTCGCCGTCCCTCAAAACTAAGGTCCCATCATGCACATCTATGAGAGCCTTGGCGGTGGCCAAGAAAGGCCTTCCCAGTATAAGAGGCACTTCTGTGTCCTCACTGATGTCCAGGATAACAAAAT